GAGAACGCGGCAAGGTGTTCAGTGCGCAGACGATCGCCTATTTGATTCACCAGAATGTCACAGCATTCCTTTGCAGACAAAATCAAACGCTGCGTTGTTTGCCCGCGGCGTAAAGAAGCACTCCATATGTCGTCGTATTTTATTGTTTCCCGGATACGAGATACAGCATCGCAGAAGTCTGAAATACACGACTGCACAGACGCTCCATCCATTAGCCTTGACTGCAATGCGCCGTATAATACATCCACGTGATAGAATATTGTGGAGAAAAAAGCGAGAAAAAATGAAAACTCACCATCTTCTAGCACAGTGATTCCCAAAGTGGGCGATATCGCCCCCCGGTGGGCGAAAACGATACAGAGGGGGGCGAAAAAGTCGAGGGGGGCGATTTCGCGAAACCTGTTTTTGCTCGGCGCATTGTGCACTTAATTCTGTACTCTGTGTGCATTCGCAGGCTTGAATCACGTGGTCTATTATCACACGCGAAAGGATTGCTGGACTCGTCTCCGCAGTAAGGTACGGTAGTTTGCGTATCCCAGTGGTCGGCAAAATACGGCCGGAGTAAAAAAATCTCGACCGGGACGATTCACTGAATAGACCTATCCCCGGAAATTCTTCCTATACTTTACCATTTTAAAATTTTCGGTGCTTATTTTAAGAGTGGTTTCGCGAGTTGTTGGTTGTAAAATAGGGTATTTGTTTCAAACTATCATTCTAATTCATACCATTCAACAATCTGTTTTTTAAAAGTAACGATGATGAATTTTAGCCTATAGTCTATCACAGCTATTTCCACACCAATTTTTGATTACTGTATTTAAACTGAAACTCATAGGAAAACAAAGTAATCATTGACTTATATTTAGATTTCCGAAAAACAACTAAAAACTAAGGAATATAATTCAAAAACGCGAAAATGAGGGAATGTTCACGACCACGCCTGAAAGTCTGTCTGAGTGAGTGTGTCTGAGCGGAATCGAAAGGGGGTATTGTTACGTTTATTTTTGCATCTTGCTGATTGGCCAATGTCACGATGTAAACAAGGAAGTATATGCCCGGGGAAAAATCCGAACGGCGGTTTTGACGATGAATTTATTTTTTTATTTATAATCTACGCTCGAGGACTAAACTACATTTTTACGTAACAGAATTTATCGTGAGACACGTTTAGACTAAATTTTATTATATCCTAAAAAATTCTATTGAACAGCTAGCTACTCTTTTAACGAGCCTACAATTTAATTATAATTAGACAAATGGAAACACGAAGAAAAAAAAAGTTGATGCTGAGGACAGGGCGCATGCAGTAAATATTCGAATATATTGCAATGCTATAAGGAAATAAAATTCATATTCTATTCGAGAGATTGATTCATCAGTGCGTAATTTTTGTAAGAATGTATCTTCTTGAAGAAAATCTTTATTAAAATTTCACAAATCATGCGAGAATATTCACTTAGATGTTTGGAAGTACATATTTGTGCAAACAATGTTTTTCGAAAATGGAGACATTACAAAGAACAAGCAAAGAATTGGGATTAGTGATGCCCATTTAGAAAATCTTCCCATCTTGGCGTCGTAAAGCTATCAAGCGTGATGCAGCAACAAGACAGTGTCACATTAAATGTCATTGTAATAATTTTTTAATAAGGCGACTGAGTTGAGTTCACGAATTGTCGCAGTTTTCGCTCGCTGTTCCGTTTTTAACTTTTAAAAAATATATGCGACCCGCAAAAGACTAGCAACCCTAAATTTTGTCTCCCGAGCGACATGAAGTTTGTCGACCCCTGGGCCGTAGTCGATAGTCGGTCACAGTTTCTTCCACATCCGAGTCCGTGAATCCAAAAACAAATAGCTGAAAAATTATATGGACTGGTGATTGGACTTGAGGCCGTGGTAGAATGAGGAATTGGGGATGAATTTTAACGAAGTATTTTGGTGCAGGTCATCAGGCTGTAGGAATGAATGAGATGTACGGAAATCATTATTATAACTTTGGGAAAATGAACTTTGATTTCATTAATTTAATGTGGAATGAGGTAAATTTTGGGAGTGAAATGCTATAAGGCAAGAGTACACGACGGTTTTTGAGGAGGTAGAACCCTGGATTCTTTCATTTCCGACCTATATTAGGTGCGAAAGGGGTTTTGAGCCGTGCTACTATTGCTATTAAAACAACGAAATCACCTTTCCATAAGTAAACTGGGTAATTCAGATATATATAATAAAAAACTCGCTGAAGAACACCAAGCTCATCCATATCATTAAAAAACACTATAAACTATGATTTGTCTTCTTATTCGGTCTCTAATATATTCGTTTTTGACTTTACATTTTTTTGTAGTGCCGGGGGGCGATGAGGTTGTATAAAGTACTGTAGGGGGGCGATGGTCAAAAAAGTTTGGGAACCACTGTTCTAGCAGACGCTTTAGACCAGCCGCCTCCCTCACAGAGCGTTCGTCCCAAACCGGAGAGCTCTGAATGCCATTGAAACACTCAATGAGCTCAGACCTAATTTCGGACACGCCCTGCACCACGCGTGGTTGGAAGTTCCAACGTGTTGGTGCACAAGCTGGGAGACGGCGGCTACATATCTGGCGAAGGAGGTCAGAGCGCTTCGGCGAAACGGAAAAAAATGAAGAAAACCCCGAAACATTTGCAAAAAATATACGGACGAGAGGGGTATCAAGACACATATTTTTAATAACGAGGTTAAATTGGTGTGCATAACAATGTAAAAAATGCGCATGAGGAAAATCTTCTTTTATATAAACTTGAACACCATGTTTCGACCCACTCATGACTGCCGCGCCGTCATAAGTTTGAGCTATCAATTTTGACTTCGCGTTGTAAGGCTGTAACACTTCTTTCAGTACAGCCGATATCCCGCAAGCCGTGCGATCAACGATTGGTACAAAGCTGTTAAATCTCTCGGTAGGTTTACCATCTTTCACAAACCGAAAAATCACAGCCAGTTGGGAAACGCACGTGATGTCAGATGTCTCGTCAGGCTGAATCGAAAGGAACTGGCAATTCTCAATTTTCAGAGCCAAATGTTGTAAATAAATTTTATACATTGAGTCGAGCAAATCATTTTGGATATCTTTAGATGTCCCTTTCGAAACAGTTGCGGCATCAAGATGATCTCTCAATACTGTATCTAGGGATGCGGTGTATTCCACCATATCCAAAAATACCCCTCTATTAGAAGAGCCAGCCCGTTCATCGTGCCCAACGGAGGGACAGCTCGTGACAACCAATGAACTTCAAAACATCTATCAATCGACCGAGAACATGGCGGTTTTTCTCGACGTTTTGGTTGTGCCGACGAATAGAAACCGCGCGTCCTTCATCCAACTGTGCTGCAATATTAACATTTCCGAATGTTCGGTATTTTACTGCATTGTCCAGATGCTCCATAGAAGATTGATGATCCCTGGCACGCTCGGAAAGATGTTTAAGATCTCTAAAACCAAATTTACACCAAAGTGAGTCACGGGTGGTAGCAAAAAGTAGGCGATAAAAACAAAAAAGTGCATTTTTGTCCTTGCTGTAACACAACCATTCGTGTTTTTTATACCAAGTTTCTGCGCAGAATGTACGCCGGCGCTTTACTCCGTCATGGGATTGTTCCAGTGAACAATTTTGACGTTGTACCTCTAATTTTTGTTCCAGCGGCAGCTGCGAAAACGGAGTGCGAAGTAGTGCATCAACCTTATTCATTATGAGGTCTAAGGCTAAGAAATGCGAAGCCGGAAAGAAGTGAGGAGCTCAAAGGGAATGTGGAAAATCGAAAGCAAATGGACTAAAGGTCTCTAACTGATTCAAATAGCGAAACAAGCGACAAAAACGAAGGCGAGGAAACTATCAACTCTTCAAGCAACCAACGAACGAGGAAGAATGCGAAAATATGTCACGTTGTTGTAAGAAACGTCGGCATTGTGTCGTCATAATTTCGGGGCTAGCCCCGATCGGCCCCGATGATTCAGTAAAAGAAACAGAAAACAAACGAGACAAACGCGGCGAGTGGAAGATAAAAGAGAGAATACGATATACAATGAGCAACCGGGGCAAAATCGGCGTCGCCCCGTCGACGTTCGGCGAAGGCTTTGCGAGCGAAAAATGAACCATGTCGGGAGAATATGGCTAGTGTAGACAGTCTGTGCAACCGATATTGAGGTATTTTTCGAATATTTTTTATTATACCGAAAAAACAACCGGGGCATTGCCCCGGTTGGCCCTATTGACGCGCCGCCACTGCTATTGCGTTGCAGTTGTAAAGTATATTTTTTATATGTTGGAAATTTGGGTGCAAACTAGACTAGTTGTTTGTCAGAGCGTTAGACATAACTGTGTTGCATATCAGGTTAATATCTTGAGTTGGAAACCTTCTCATACAATGGATAATGAATTGAGTAGGCAATGCAGAAACGAGAAGATATACCAGTCTTTCCAAAATATAATGAATTATCAGTGACCGCTTGTGCAGGTCCTTGTTCGGCTTCGGTAAACGTATAAAAATATTGGGTGAAGATTATTATTAAGATGTAACGGCTCACATACCATACACCACTGCTTGGTCGCTGAGCAAGTATTCTTGAGAGTTGGATGCAAGTGCAGCTTCCGAGTTTTTAGACTCAGAAAATGGTTGTTTAAAATACACCTGGAAATGTATAGACTAATTCAAGATTATAACACATTCACCCTTTGTGGGATTTTAATTTAGAAAAGGCTATATGTATATCAACAACACCTAATCGAAACAGTTGTTATCACTTTTTTCCACTGAAATCACGATTCTAATTTGTAAACATAACCTACTTTGTTAGAGGAAATTCGGTTTTCCGGTCTATTTTGACTATAGAACATTTTTTCAATCTGGAGATTGCATTTTCAATTCACTAGGATTGAACATTATTAATCTCAGCTTGTTAAATATTTGGCCACAACAAAATTTGCCTGATTTTAATACAAAAGATTTTGAGTTTTACTTTTGTCATAATTCAAAGTATCCGAAACCTTACCTCTTTCAACAAGGTGGATATAGTTTCGAACGATTCTCTTCTGTAGAAAAGTTTCACTGTATCACTTGCTAACGTAGCCAGTATCAAGCTGAGAGAGCCGCTGCAGAAAACAATAATAAAATTAATCTTTATTAACACTGGCAACGTGCATTTAAATACCGACTTAAAAACAGTGGTTCTCAACCTTTTACTGACCGCGTAACACTTTTGTGTTTTTTACCGTGGCCGCGTACCACCGACGAAACCGCTTTTGTGGCAGGGAACAATGAGACGAGAAACGCGCTATGGTAGTATTTTATGTGGCACTACATCTATTTTTAGAGCTTCGTGCAAAGTTTCAACGTATTCATTATATTCAGTAACAACGTAATAATTGCGTGCAAAATCACGAGAGAATTTGCGTCGTCAACGTCAGAGCTGAAAGGCTTTAATCATCGCCACCACTGAATTATCGCAAAACTCAGACAAATACACTTTGGTCGGCGCTAGCCATTATCCGGAACTGCCTAACCTAATCGTCAAATTGCTTGGCTTCAAAAGTCAAGATTATGCCCATCAGCCAACACATATATTAGGTCAGGGGTCGGCAACCTACGGCCCGTGGGCCGGATCCGCGGAGTAATATAATCCGGCCCGTGCCGCTTCACTGAATCACAGTAACAAATCTGCTGTTTTGACGATTATATTCCTTACGTAACAGAATTTATTGTGAGACACGTGTAGACTAAATTATATTATAACCTTATAAGTATATAATTCACAATTACTCGTTTAATGAGCCTATAATTTAATTATAATTAGACAAATGGTAAGAAAACGCAGAAAAGTTGATGCTAAGTGCAATGGGTTCAATGGCGCCGAAAATATTTAAATGGAATTTTTTGCAATGCAATGAGGAAATAAATCTATATTCTATTCGAAAGATGTGTCACTGTTTGATTTTTATTATAAAAAGTATCATCCGTTCGGTTTTCAACTTTCTAAAAATATGTGCGGCCCGTCAATGACTTGCAACACTTAATTGTGGCCCGCGAGCGACAAAAGATTGCCGACCCCTGCATTAGGTAGTAATAGTAACATCCTCATAATACATTAGGTAGTAATAGTATTATCCTTATGATGTATCTAGGCTCTGTCAGGGTATCTTGACACGTGTCGACCACCCCTCCAAACGCTCCCTTCGTTGCCGATTTCTCAATGCAGATGCATTTTGAACGTGACACGTAAAACGGGCGAAAATATGCCCATCTCGTTTCCGTTTAAGTGGGCAGTGGCGGGCGAGAGCGCTCTATAAAGAGAAGGACTGGTAACGCTATAAACTGTTCTTGTTAGTTTGTACCAAAACATGGGGCTGGGCAGCGGCGGGGTATTTTAGTTAATATCATTATATTTAAAACCGTGGTTCTCAACCTGTGGTTGAGTAACATTAACAATAACATTTCAGTAATGAAAGGTAAAAAGAAAGCGTATCTGCCATATTTTAGCCACCTCAAAAGTCGGTTGTAGTAATAATTTAAAGCTTCTCGCGTACCACTTGAAAAACCCCCGCGTACCACTAGTGGTACGCGTACCACAGGTTGAGAACCATTGCTTTGAAACGAACAAATATAAGGTTACTAAGAAACTGGATTGATTCGTCGTTGAAAATAGGTCTCGCTCACGCGAATACTACCTGTTCTTGTAGGAGTCATTCGCGAGTTATAGAAAGTTATTTTTGACTTATTTTCTGGCATAAATCCGGTGAAACATAAAAAAAAAATATGTCGTTATTGTCCCTCCATTAATCCAATTGGCTGTTTCTTTGATTCTGTTATCACAGGTTATTGCTCCACTCCTTCTAACCTAAGCTAAGGTAAGCGGACTATCAATAAACAGATCAGAATATTAATGTTGAGGCAATAACAAGATAGTACCAATATACATAGAGTATGATAGACAAAAGCTATTGAAATCCAAAATATCGTTGCCGGTGTTACATTTTATCGATATGTCTATGAGAATCAATTTACAGCGTCAACTGGTAAAAAAATGTTTTGCTGCTCGTGTTAGATTTCTCGAAGCCATAAGCAGCATTTCCTGGATTAGACTGACTGAAACTAACATAATTCAAAAAAGAAGGCCCAATGGAAACCATCTACATCTGTCCCAATACCCTCTACATTTCAACTGAAGTCACACATTGGGCGATTATATATAAATAAATTGAGAACTAGTTGGAAATTAAATTAGTTTTTTATAGCTACAGTCAGAATATTCAATTATTCCAAAAAAAGCTTTCATTCCAAATGTTTTCATTCGACAGTCCTGCATATTTCAAATCGCTATGTTTGGGCAGTTTTTGTGTTCGTTTCTTCTTCACGACCTTTTTGTCAACGCGACGATTATAGTTGAAATTGAGCTCCAGTGTCAAAATAGTATGTACCCATATATAATAGGTAATAAGCTTAAAAAATTACCATGGATTCTTTTTTAAGATGTAGCAGAATCTGTCCACGACATCTCTGAGGGTCGATCTTAAAACAAACGAATCGCGATATTCAAGTGAAATTGAAGGCGCCTCGTTTTCTGAATTGTTCGATGGTTCTAAGATATCAATGTCGTTCTGCAATAAACAGCACAAGGCAGGTTTATTTTTATTTTTTAAATCAATGATACAAAAATTACGAGAAGGAAGTAAGAACACAGTTTTAATAGAGGAATGGAAGCCGATGAGAACCAAAGCTGGTATCAAGCAGCGATGATTGAAAGTTAAAAAATCTTAAAGTGAAAAGTAAAATCGCAGCGCCTTTCTTTGTAAACCACAACGCGACCTAACAACACTTGAATATTGATAAATTCTGTGTTAGATAGGCAATCCAATGAACCCAAACCCAATAAAATGACTAACGTTAGTCGTGCATATAATAACAATAGAGCGATTCTCAAATATACAAACAGGAAAGCCAAAGCGAAGCAGTAGCCTACCTTACCTTATATACAATACCTTACCTAGTCTACGGTACGGTCAAAAACCTCAAATCCGAGACAGACAAGTAGAACGAATTTGTGTCGGGTGGGGCCGAAATTATAGAAGAAGGATATTGGCCAAAATATAACAATAATGTGTTTTCAACGCGTATTTACCTGAAAGAAGAATAGCTTTGGTTTTCCATCTAGAGAAGGAACTTTGGCAGGCGTGAAGGAATCGATAACATATTGCAGCATATCGAGGTCGCCGTTCACTTTTTCTGAATATTTGCACCAACAATGTTTAGACATTTTATAGAATGCCGTTCGTATGAATTAGGCAGCAAATTCTGGGTAAATTACTGTTTCCAAAGCATTCAGAAATATTTTGAAAAATGAAAGTGCCTTCTAGTGGGTTCAATCATCTTTAAGTACTCAAAATGTAAATCGGTTGGTCTATTAATTTTGGAGAGCAGCCACTCCTTTACAACAACAGTAAATTTAGCAGACCAGACTCATAGACAACAGTTGTTTTTGTGATGAAAAATAAGCAACTGACTGACTATGAAACGAACCTGTATCGAAAATGAAACACACGAAGCAGACGTGCGACGTAAAGGTTTGCTTTGATATCTTCTCAATATCCTCACCTTGAAGGTTTATATTATATCTCACATCTACGTCGTAGTTTGCGCCGTTAAAGTAATTTCGGAGAACATCTGCATAACGTGCATAAATTTAGGCATCTAATATATTCAAGAAACTTAGCACAATACAAATGGACAATAGGACAATGCTCAAATATATGGACACCAAGATCACGCTTTTGCTGGTAGCTGAACACCGAGTATGCTAATAAGATCAGGGGGTGAGCGTAAAATGTTCCAATGTGTACTAAGAAGTGTCCCCGTGAACTAAAACAAAACGTTAATATCTGGGTTAATTAAGTATCGCGTCTCACTGGAAGTTTGAACAGAAAATGAAAGGAATAAACTTGAAAGAGTTCAGGTATTGAACTTCGATTAGTCCAGGGGTGGCCAACCTATGGCGCATGCGCCAAACGTGGCGCATTGTATGATTAGAAGTGGCGCATTGCATCTTTAACCCTTTTCATGCCAAAATTGTTAATTGCACTTGGCTTCTCCACGCCAAGCCGTTTTTTTGCGATTTACATGGTGACTTTTGATTGTACCTAAAATCTATTCTCCTTACTCCACGTCGCCCACTTACGGCTTGTTGGAATTAGAAACAACAGGCGATTATCGACGTTAGCTTTTGGACGGACTTTTTCTAGACTCTCTAAATATCTCTCAATAACCATTGAACAACCAGTTGAATTGACCGAGCCTAAAAAATTTATTATAAATCAACCCACAACATGCTGAAAATGACCCCTAAATACCACCTTTTTCATCCAAACTTCAAATGACCGTTGTCAACAAAAGCGAAGCGTAAAATCGTTGCTGTGACGCAAGTACTAATCTCGAAGAAGCCTGGAGTAAAATCACGCGACGCTAGGCCAAACAGCTGATTAGCAAAGGCCAATTAGAATCGAGGGTAGAGTAGAGTAGAGTAGATATTGATACAGAAGAACTGAGAAAATTTGCCCAGGGTTTTATATGTCGTTTCGGAACGACATAAAGATGTGAACAAACATTTTCTGCCATAAAACTAATTAAAAGCAAAGCGAGGTCAAGACTTACAGATTTAAATTTGAAGAATGCACTGCTCCTCTCAGTAACAAACTTAACTCCAAGAATAAAAAAACTGGCGAAAGTAAAACAGCAGCAAAAGTCTCATAAAGGCGGTACTTAAAAATAAAATTGATCAGTTTCATTTATTATACTTCCTTGCTTAATTTCTATTCATGTGAAGTTGTAAATTGTAAAAACTACATATACGTGTGTATATATGTGTGTGTGTTATAAATTTATATAATTTCAACAAGAAGCGGACATTAGGCGTGGGAATACCCGTACAAGAGATTTACGGCGCATCTGAAACATTATGTTTAAAACGTGGCGCATGGTATGTGAAAGGTTGGCCACCCCTGGATTAGTCCAATGATTGCAAATAAAAGTTAGAAAAGAAAACAGTTACAAAACGACCCATAGGTCTGCTTCGTATCCAATAAAAATGGCAAAGACGTAAAAGACCATTTAATAGATGAAACTCACCGACGAATCGAGAATAAACGCCATTGTTGAGAACGATTAGACAAAAGCCACGATGGTCAGTATCTGGTAGACTGAAAATATAAAATTGGAAACTTAACAATTGTATTGGTTTTGTCTACATATTAAATTTTACAAATAAACGGACAAATCATATGTTTTCAGCTATTTGGAGTAAAAATATTCATTGACTCTTAGCTTTTAAAAATAGTTCGGTACCGGATCTCGAACATGGGTTAAAGAAAAATTGATTTCAATTTCAGATCACGTGACAAACTTGCAAGTTTTGTTTGAATATGTCGTGTTAAATAGGGTTTCGATTTTGTTCATGTGAACATTTTTGTTCCGTTTTTTTTACAGCATTCATCACCGACTCCTGGAATATTCGAAATATTACACCAACTTCATAATGAAATGTTTAATTCTGACTTCATGTTCAAAGCCACACATGTCCCCAAGCATCTTTTAGTTCCGGATATACTTTTGAATCAATTCACCTTTTACTACGGGTGATATTTGCCACGTCAGTGGGTACATAAAATTATGAACAAAATTAATATTAGCACAGCAAGCCATAAACACGCACAATTCCACGCTCTTATTCATTATAGTGTCCGTGTGCCTTCCTTGTCCATCTCTTATTTTGCTCAGAGATCAATCTGCTTTATTTCTGCGTGAGTACCCTTGGTTTGTGATTTTCATCAAAAATATATGATTACAATGTTTAAGCTCTTACTTGTACATTTCCTTGTTTATTTCCGTGGTTACGATCGGTGGAGGTTTCACACTGAAATAAAGTAAAACAAAATAATGGTACACACTCAAATAAATGAGTGTTGTACATGTGGATTCATACCAAGATCAATTCCATGAATTAAATTTATTTTCCCCGGAAAGCCCAATATTATGATATGGAGCAAGATAAAGATTATATGGAATTATCATAATGAATATAAAAAACAGAATGAGATTTCATGATTTGGGATATACGTCAAGACAAATTAACCAAATGGCGGCCTCTCCAGTTTCAGGTTTTTTCTTTTACCGATTTTGGCCCCACATTTTAAATTTCTTAAAACTGATATTTTACCAAAATATATGTTATAAGTTTATATTTTCATGAAAATACTCACAGCCGCTCCTTAAATACCGCATTTCTCTTTTTTTCGCGTTGTTGCAAAATGATACGTCTTTTCCGTGTATCCTCATTCACTTCTCGAGTAATCGGGTCTGTGATTTCGGGAAATTCCAACGCAAACCCTTTCACGTCAGTTTGATCCGTGTCAATGTTGCCGTCGACAACTATCTCTGGGTTTTCTGAAATAAATAAGCAATGCTCAAATATATGGACACAAAAGCGGAAACAAAATATTTTTCCCAGGGTTTCCCCACAAATCATTCTGAACGAATCCGAAATTGTGTACCATCATAACTTACTAGTACCGATACCCGGACTGCCCTCGCCTAAACAGGTCCTATGACAATGATGATTCATTTGTCTTGTCCAACGTGAATAAAAATGATTTAACTCATAACTGTGGTATCAAATCATTTACAGCACAGTAGTACCTAGTCTACAGTGCGTCACCATTATCGGAAAACTTCCGATTTTTGTGAAGCAAGATTCCGCAAAATCTAAATGGAAGACTTTTGTCACGCTTGGCGGATTTAAAACCGTCTTCTCGCGAATAAAAAATAATACAGTGGGATGAAACATTTGATCTTATAGGATTCATAGAAAATTTAGAAATAGATAAAATATTAGTTTCCTACAGAAAAGTTAATTCTTCAAACATTGAAAAATTCAAAGAAGTTTGTCCAGTAGTTAAAAAATAGAAACGAATATTCAAATTATTAAGACTAACAACAAGAATTCTAACAACAGCATAATTTTATATCGTTTTGTAGGTTCATTTCGTATTCAATAAGAGTCAGAGTTATTATTTGTCATGCAAGAAAAGACACTTAACATGCAGGTCTCTATAATGAACATAGGAAGGTCGCTTTCCCTCCAACAGACATAAAACCCGCAATAGGCAACGCTGGCCAGTTTTCAGCAAGTTTTTTCATTTACCAGAAAAACAAATCGGATATTTCAGAAAGTGTGTAACGCTATCCGCAAGATGAAGCACAAGTTGCTAAAGCTAACTAAGCATGATATTTCAATCCTCAACCGGTGCACGCTGCTGTTTTATTCAAAGTAGAGTGTATTGCATAAAAAATATTTACCGTTCGACTCAAATTCAGGAGATCGTTTAGGGCTTGATTCTAGTTGCTCCCGTACAGGTTCCTGTTGTACATTATTAATTTGTTGAGAATCATCTAAATAAATACTTTGCATTATTTTAAATAGCAAGTGTTATTTATTTAAAAATAGGAAGTGTTACCTCTAACACATAAAATTTTGTCTGTCGACCACTGAATCACTAATTAGCTACATGTGGTCCAATTAGATTTGAGACAATGTAGCTGTCCAACGTTCTGTTGGATTACTGAAATAAGTAAGCAAATGTCTTTTGCTGCTTTCCTCTTAACGGAAGGAAATATTTATTCAAATAACCGGAGCTCATCGAAATTTCTAATATTCAGAGTTCTTAGCAATTTTGTTCGTTTGCCGAACGCCAAGGACAAATCGAAAAGAAATGCATTTCAGAATAGTGTATGAACGTTATCCGATAGATGGAGAACAAGTTCCATTAATTCTATAACATTATACACAGTTCTAAAAACGCGTTATATCGCTCAAAATATTCACCTTTTGACCCTGTTTCAGAAGATCTGGGGTGCGCTACAGGTTGTCTCAGTACAGGTTCCTTTTCCCCCGTCGTAGATATGTCATCTGAATAGATAGAATAACGAATGAACTACCAAACAATTGATTGAAAGGAAAGAGCCCGTAGTTGATCTTTTTAAATACAAGAAAGCGATGCTCAAATATATGGACACGTAGTAGTACCGCTATACAGTCTTTCGCAGTACCGTAGTCGCAGTGTTCACGATTTCGCTCTGCAACAAAATCGCTGTGCGAACTCACTGCGAAGACGGAATCGCCACAAGGAGCGCTTATTTTGTAATTTTAAAGACATCATCGCACACAACAAACATATGTTTTATAGTTCACAGGAATTTCTGAAATAAATAAAAGTAGTAGCTTCTAGCAAAAAATAAAATCTCCCACCACTGAAAATTTCGAATCATTTGGTCCAGTGATCAAAGAGAAAGCGATTCTTAAAGAATGATAAGAGGAAGAATTCTAACAAGAACAACAACACAACAAACCATTCGATTCATATATGATTTTTGTTTTGTTTGGGGGGGGGGGGGGGGGGGGGTACATGATAACTAGTAGATTGGTCTGACGATAGAGTAAGGATTAGGATTAGATTTGGATTGTTTGGTCGAATGGTTTAAATTAAATGAATGTCATAAACCAAAGATGTCCGATCAACAGTCAAGTCAGTTCATCAACAATCAATTCTTAGGAAAAATAGAACAAAAACTTAACCAATGTGAAAGAATTCCCGTTAAATTGAATATGCCAACAACTTGCAGGTTGTTGTAATAACCTATTAGTTCGCAAAGATATTTACCGAATGACGCTGATGGTTGTTGCGTTACAGGGGATTCCGTCCTAGCTATATTATCAACCCCCATGTGTCTGTCATCTGTATAAAATAAATATTAATTATTTAACAAATATCTTGTTATCTTGTTGTTATTTATCAAATATCTACATGATAACTAGTAGATTGGTCTGACGATAGAGTAATGATTAGGATTATATTTGGATTGTTTGGTCGAATGGTTTAAATTAAATGAATGTCATAAACCAAAGATGTCCGATCAACAGTCAAGTCAGTTCATCAACAATCAATTCTTAGGAAAAATAGAACAAAAACTTAACCAATGTGAAAGAATTCCCGTTAAATTGAATATGCCAACAACTTGCAGGTTGTTGTAATAACCTATTAGTTCGCAAAGATATTTACCGAATGACGCTGATGGTTGTTGCGTTACAGGGGATTCCGTCCTAGCTATATTATCAACCCCCATGTGTCTGTCATCTGTATAAAATAAATATTAATTATTTAACAAATATCTTGTTATCTTGTTGTTATTTATCAAATATCTACATGATAACTAGTAGATTGGTCTGACGATAGAGTAATGATTAGGATTAGATTTGGATTGTTTGGTCGAATGGTTTACATTAAATGAATGTCATAAACCAAAGATGTCCAATCAACAGTCAAGTCAGTTCATCAACAATCAATTCTTAAGAAAAATAGAACAAAAACTTAACCAATGTGAAAGAATTCCCGTTAAATTGAAGTTGCCCACAACTTGCAGGTTGTTGTAATAACCTATTAGTTCGCAAAGATATTTACCGAATGACGCTGATGGTTGTTGCGTTACAGGGGATTCCGTCCTAGCTATATTATCAACCCCCATGTGTCTGTCATCTGTATAAAATAAATATTAATTATTTAACAAATATCTTGTCCTAATTTTTTGTTATCGCAGTTTGTTAGAGTTTTTACTTGCCATTATCAGGTTATTCATAATTCTGACATTAGTCTTTTGAATACTGACGCTTGTAGTTTGGCCTATAATAGAGAAGTTACTAGTCACAACTGATGCGCTAAGTGTTACATTTATTGGGCTCATGGTGTTGCCGGTTAGCAGAGACCGTGAACTATTACACTGACAATCCAAAAAGCAGAAAAAAAGAGAGACTACTGAATTCCTCTCGGCAGGGTAGTTTTTTCAAAAAGGTGGCATCTTCCACCATTGAGGTACACATATCTGAATATTGGCAATTACAATAATTTTTATAGGTTACCTGTCATTAAATCATACTGTTGCGATGGACAACATCGTGGTTTTATTGGAACAAAACATGCAAAGCCAACAACATCCTTAATAAAATACCAATAAAATATTAAAATTATATTGTGCTAGGTAATTTCCATCACACGCTCTAGTAGTCAATCAGAGTTAGTAGTTCAAGTTACTCATGCATTTGTGTCGCTCATATAAATATGCCGGTTGCCTCATGAGTTCATCGTCATTGGGAGACATCGTTGATTTGAAACGGTGCGATACCTGAGCGGTTAAATCTTTGTTGACATGGCGATTGCAGTTTAAAAACAAATCACACACCCACGCGGGGGCGTGTCGAACTTTCTGCTGCCCAGGATGAGTTTCTGCTAATGATGCCCCTTATACCAAATTTCAAAAATATTTTAAACAAATTTTAGATAGTTGTTATAAGTGAGAATAAATTAATTGAAGCTAGGGATGCCACTTTTGGATTTACGAATCGCATCTATCCGAATCGATTCGAATCAGATTTACGCGATTCGGAAAAAGAGAGCGATTTACCAAAAAAAAAACATTAAACGTTAGTTAAATCGTTGTTTTTGGCGGCTTTAAATCTGCCGAATGCGTTTATGCGCACTCCCAAATAACACCAAATTACCGGACTGAAAAAAAAAACATTGAACGTTTGTTAATCGTTGTTTTCGGCGGCGTTAAAACTGCCGAATGCGTTTATGCGGCACTCCAAATGACAGCAAATTACGGGACGGAAATGAATGAAAATAAATTTTTCGTGATTGACATTTTTACTTATCTGCCGTCATTTGTTTCAAGTTCGACACAACACTCTTTTACGCATCACTCGAGATAATGTGTGGCGTAATTTCCACCAAACTGCGAGTTCAGTTTTCCATTGAATAGCTTAAGTTTCTATTATGCGCGAATTTAAATGGATTGTATACCTGAAAATTCGTGATTGCGCTGCGACCAAGTGCTACCGACGTCTAGACTCTCTAGATCATAGGTTCTCAAAGTGCTCCGTACGGAGCCCCAGGGCTCCGCGAGAGAAACCTAGGGGCTCCGTGAGCTATCCGATTACTTTTTAAAATAATGACTAGTTTTGTAACTGTTCAAAGAAACAATAACAGCTTTGATAAAATTTGACAACATTATAGCCTCGAAATATGGCAAAGAGGCGGAATCGAAAAATGACATTATTTATAAGGTGGAGCGCAGCCAGGATTCTCAAGAGGTGGGGATTTGAATCGGAAATTTCCGCGCAACATTCTTTGCGATTATAAAAAACGGATAACGAGATTTCTGTTGCGTAAAATATTCAATGTGTGGCCGATGCGAGCATTTAAAGTGTCTCGTCGTAATAATTCAATTGTACTCATAGTTACTCAAGTTTCATTCGAGATTACTATTAGGATTACTAAAATGAAGGAATACTATTCTAAAATAACATAAAATACGTGATAAACTGCCACCTATGAATAAATTGGAGTCGTATTTTTGCGATCTTGGAATTTGTCAAACTTGATTTGTTCTTTTGCACTCGAGATTATTATTAAGCAAGATATCGCCGTTAAAAAAATCACAAGATCTGGGCAAAATACGACTTCCGAAAATGTCAAAAGGGAAAAGATTCAACCCCTAATTTATTAATATGTTTGTCAAGTGTCAAATTTACAGGTTTAGTAAGAGTATATATAATTCATCTTTAAAATTTTAATTTATTTATGACTTGCATTAACCCCATTAAAAAAGGTTTAGCCTTTAAATTAAGTTAAGTACTTTCAACTTACTCAGGAATATTTATCGGAAAGCTACAATTTTAACATTTCTTTTGGGGCTCCGCAACACCAAAAGTTTGAGAACCCCTGCTCTAGATAATATTTAATTTTGATCGAAATTTAATTTAAACCTCGTTCTGAGTGAAATATTTCGCGTACACTTGAAGAGAACTATTACTGAATGAATTCATCGGCCGGCAATGTTAATCGACAATCATGTCTCTCATCCTAAAATATATATTTATTTTGTTTGCGTTTGTCAGGCTTCCACTCGAGTGACGGTAAACGAAATCAGGGGGACATAATGTAATAGTACATACACGTCTTTTTTCAGCTGTCGGGTGAACGGTTGTTTTTCTCGAAATCAATTTAATTTAATCTTGGTTAATTTAAATCGTCTCCAAGCATATTCTTGCAAAACGCAAGCATTTCCAATTTAAAGTAATTCAGATGCAATTAGAATGTTTTTGTCGTACTACTCTATGATGCTAGCATAAATATGAAATATTGTACTGAAATTTGAAGATAAAGAATCGGTAATAAGGCCGGCCTCAATTCAATATAACAAGAAGTGAAATACCACAGTCACATATACTGGTGTAGGACTAGGGAAAGCAGTGCTGTTACTGTGTTTATGACATAACAGTGCAACTGTTCCCTGCTTTTTTTCTCATATAAATTCCATCAAATTGCCTCAGTCCTGATACAAGTAGGTCTAACACAATAATAACTCAGTATTGTAAGACTCACAGATAAGTTGCAACAGCAAGTTTTTCGTCAATGCATTTATTGGTGATATCTATGAATTACATCTTTTTTATCATGATGGAAATAAGTGTGGCTTATTCACTGAAAACCCCTTATCATCCTTGCTATATAGCGTATTCCATTTTTAAGTTTTTCTCCTCTAGATTTGTTTTTTTTTTACTTTGAGCAAACATACGCATACAATAAAAAAAAGCTCAATGAAATCAGATTCGGAAAGATTCGATTCGAAAATTTTTGATTCGAGATTCGATTCGAAAAAAATGTATCCAGAAGTGGCAACCATAATTGAAGCACAAGTAAGAGTAGAATTTTTGTATATTATTATTATTTAAATTGAACATCAAAATAAGCAACAAACTCACGCCTGTAACGTGTTGGCAGGGGCGGCTGACCCTTTGGCCAACCTCTAGATACGCCTCCGTCACTACGTCGCCCAGTGAGAACTAAAATGGCCTTGTTCAGAGCGAAAGGTGTGAATAAATGTAATGTGAAAATGCAAACGCTAAATTTGGGCAACAAAAAAGAACTTAACGCCCGTTTCAGCTAATAAACTGAGACATGCAGAAAGCAAAGTGTAATTATTTAATAAATCTCACAAAACCTGTGTATAACATTCGGAAAAGGTGGAAAAAAATTAAAATTATTTTACGATACCTTATGACAATGATAGGTACAGTTGCAAGGACAGTGCTTGTCCATCGTACGACGTTCTTTAAACTAAATCCGAAGCTTTATTTTGTTTTAGAATTGGGAGGAATCCTACAATGACTTGAGTGTTACCTAAAATAAGAAAGTCAAATTATTGACTGATCTGAAGTTAATGTCTGATCTGAAGTTTGGCAACTATGGACGGATGTTTCTCTGAGCATGGGCTTGCTTGTTTATTTTGGTAACATTGGAAATGAGCAACGAATCAACCGTGGTCTAACAATTGAACTTTTTGACGCTGCTCAGACGCCTTTTTCACTCGTACAGATTTCCAAGCATGATTTTAAATCTTGGCTCGCTTTTGTGGTCTTGTTAGCAATCTGTCAGTTTTTAGTTGTATAATTAGGTATAAATTAAATAACTCGACGGACATTTTGTCTTCCGAGTAATTTTAGTTCAGTAGCTCTAATCAAAAATTGAGTTCCGATAGACGAGCCTAAAATTAGCTATCGATACTTTTACATGACACGTGGTTAAATATTTTGAATCCAATGATGGATGAACAAACATGATAACCCGTTTAAGCGCCAACTCCCGAGAACACTCTCAAAATTGGTAAAGGTTTGGGAAAACATCCAATGTCTTTCGGAACTCGGATTTTTATATTTTTGTTGTTAGAATCAGACAATTTTCGATTGGAACAAAAAGATGTTTACCAACACCAAAATCTTTATTAGAGTTAAATTGTGAATATTTAAAATACATTTTTTTGCGCTGTGCAATAACAAAAATTCATTTTTAATCTTATTGAAATAAAAAAATTAGATGCGTTATATATCGTGTCCATGGCAAATTTCCAACGAAATTAAGAAAATCTGCTTTTCTTTAAGTCTTTGGTTGAGGTGGTCTCTTCACGCCAGGCTCTAAATGAATTATTTCTGCAATAAACAAGGAGTCGCATCCAAATTTGCACTAAATATCCTTGCTGATATTGCGAAAAAAACAGAAAAATGTGTACTCACCTCAATATAGTCTAGTCTAGTCATATGCCTCCAAGATGATTCAACGATATTATTAATGAAGTGTAGGTGGTACAAGCATATCCCATCTCTTTAGTTAGGTTTGAATTTTATTAAACTTTGCCTTGTTTTCTTTGTATTAACCTATTGAGTAAACAGCTAGACGCTTTCGCAAACAGGTAGTATGTACAAGTGCCGAAATAATATACCTCACGTGTAATAATTTACACAGTACATAGCACGCGGCGTGGTTGCAGTTATACTTCTTATAACTTCAATATAATAGCATACAAGAGTAAAACAAATAAACCTGGAGTAGTATACTACAAGACAAGTCAATTATCCCATTAATACGTTTGCAGTGCCGATAAGTGATATCTTATAGCTGGACTCGTACCTTAAAAATGGGTAATGAAGCTTCAAAAGGTGAGTGAGTTTTTTAACTCTTTGAACCCTGAAAGCCGCTATAGCGGCTTTCCCGAGAAAGTCTTCTGACGCTGAAAGCCGCTTTAGCGGCTTCCGCATCCCGTAAGAGGTATGCAACTTTGAAACCTCATATCTTGCGAACCATTTATTATATTTAGACACGTTTTACACCGTGTGAAAGATAATCTACAGGACTAAGTATAATTTTAAAATTGAAATAAAATATTGTGATCATCTTATGAAAATTGGCAAAATTAAAAAACATAAAAAAATTCTGAAAATTGCTCAAATCTAATTGACAAAACTTCAATTTGTTTTCGATTAAACCTGGTACATTATCGAAAAAATTTGTAGAATTTGAAGATAGCTTTCCAGTGATACCATTAGATTGAACTTATGTTGCACCATTCAAATTTTAGAAGCACATTTATTCGTGATTTTGTTTGTCGTAAGATCGAGGCGACGTCAAGGTGACGTAAATAACGACCGAACACATTTACGCTGATACGCAGCGACGTTAAGCAATTACGTTGGCACGTTTACGTTTCATACGAGAAACACTTTTCCTCGCATGCTCGTAAAGTCATTTACTTGAGCTCGTACTCGTGAAGCGACTAACGACTTGTAAACGATACACGGGAAAATTTACGCATTACATCCAGCCTCAAAATCTGTTCGACTAAAATACACAATACGCAGTGTTATTGCCGTTTTGATTGCATAAAGATATGAAAAATACGAATAACAAAAATAAGGATTTCTAAAAACGGAATGATGGAACATATCGATGGATGCATTGTTTAGCGCCATTGCTGAGTTTTATTGTGCCATATTTTCTTGGACAAAGCTGTCGTTTAAAATTCATTGTAAATATAGAGATATCAGGAATGTAGCGTATATGCAGTAATTTCGAAAATCTAATGAGGCCGCAAAATGTAAAACACTGAACAGGTGAGCTACTGGTGCCACCATGTCTTCCGTGTACCCGTTATCAGTTTTTTTTTATTCAATCTTCATGATATCCAAAGGTGAATAATTAGCCTTGATGTTTACGGCGGAACCTCATAAATGCATGAGGATCAAATATTTCGTTTTGACCATTCATTTCCGTCCCATATCCAAATAGTAAACGTATATGAAATGACCTTTATATTCTAGCAATTTTACTATGTTCGATCAAAATTCGTCTGAAAGGGTTTTATCTGCGGCCGAGGATATGATACTGATGCAATGATGACACAATCTGAACTCAAGCTGTGAACGACCAGATGTGCAATTGCGCAATATATCTCACGCAAAGAGTTACGCACTAATCGTCGCGTGAACGTTATCACGACAATGTCGTCGTCGCCCTTTGCGTCGTGACGCAAACTTGGCGTCAAAATAGTTGATCAATTTTGTTCGCAAACCATTTGAATCGTTAGTACAAATTCTGCAATAAAATGAGTTATGCGTATGTTAAGAAAGTCATCCGTATATTCTCCGAAAGGTAATTTTGTATACTTTTCAAAATTTTACTTATATTGATGATACATTTCTAAAAATGTATTAAACATTACCCAAATACAAAAAAATAGTAGATAGGGCTAAAAATAGGCTTACACATCTCATCAAAACATCTCGTGAAAAATAATGCCAGGTAAAAATAAAAGACTAGATAGGCTTTTATATGACATATTACAGACCATCTGATATCTGATGGTTTAGAAGTTATTTTGATTGAAGTTAGGGATATTACAATTTTTTAACGCGTCAAATCGATGCGACGCCGTGGGAGGTCAGGGTGAGAGAGTAGCATCGTTCTGGGGATTCAGAGTTCAAAGAGTTAAGATAAGATTAACTGAGAAAATTTTCTCGTCACTAGTTCGTTTCAGCAATTTAACTTAGTAATAAAATGTTTTTGTCAAAATATTGCAACTAAATGCCATTTACAAAATTCTATTTTATTTATCTATGCGGTTTTATTCACGGGAATATGCAAGGTGTACATTGCTTTGATTAGAATCGTTAGTGAAAAACATGAGAATCCGCGTCACAATCGTCAGCTTCAGGTGCCTGTGGTTGTATTAGTATATTAGATAGGAAACTTCGTAACGGGTTCAGATTCATAATATTAGTTGATATCTAATCAATGCTGATGAAAAAGCGATGGGTATTTAAAAAGCATAAGTGGTGAAATTAACGAGATACGGACAAGTTCAATTGTGTTACGTAAATAATTTTAGTTTTTTCAATGTCGGTACATTTGTCTATCGCATTTCAACTCTTCTGTGCAACTAGATTGCCACTATAGAACGGCGTGCATCAAATTTGGCGTCATTATGGATCAGTAGTTGCTATATCGGCCTAATCGATAGATATCCAGAATGCAAACCTAGCTAGCATTCCAAACTTCAGTAACCCCAGTAAATGGCCTGCGACAGCTCTTTCAGCAATCCTCTTGCCAGTCTCACGTACGATCGTGACTACGATTGTTCAGTAAATTTTACTAACATTTGATTGGCACCAAGGCTAACGGATTGTAACTTTACAGCAAGGAAGGATGAAAAGGAAAAGCTTGAGCGTGAAAATGAAAAGCTTGAGCGTGAAAATGAAGAATATAAACGGCAAATTGCCATTGATGATGCAAATCGTAGGCGCGAGGAAGAAGAGCGTAAACAGCAAATTGTCATTAAAGAGGAAGAGCGCATGCTGCATGAAAAGGAGAAGCGTGAGCGTGAAAATGAAGAGCATAAACGGCAAATTGCCATTGATGATGCAAATCGTAAGCGCGAGGAAGAAAAGATGAAGCACAAGGAAGATATGGAGAGAAGGGACAAGACAATTGCTATAGCCGAGTTGAAGCTACAGAGAGAAATTGAAAATGGCCGCAACAATGAAACTGTAATGCGAGAATTCGGCAATCTTTACGAGAAACATAGCAATTATTGGTAAGCACACAAACTTTTACACACATAGTTTCATGATGATCAATTTTGGAGACAGTGGAAAACTATTTTCTATTATAAGAAACTATCAGGTGTTGAAGTTTTGGTGCACTCTACAAATAATTTCATATACATAAGAACACGTTTCTGGACAAATTGAAAATATTTCCCATTCAATTGATTGCACGTTTTAATTACAGTGATGAAGCGGGGTTGCCAGCAAGTGAAGCAGTGGAGAGTTTTGGAAGTATTTTCGGTGTCCTCATGGAAAAATTAAAATTCAAGTGAGCACAATTATGTACCTAGGGTGTTCATTGGGTTAAGAAGGAAAGATTGTGATTGTCAAAATATAACTTCCATTTTAATTTATCCACAAAAGCAGTGCTGAGATACCAAACTTTCCATCTACATACACTCTCTGTGGTTGCGGGTACATGAGTCGCCCACGATTTAAAATTAAAAAAAAAAAAAAAATTCAATGACTGAGCAAACAGAGAATTTTCCTCCAAACGCTCTTTAGCTAAACCCAAAAATGTGATTAACTTTTAATTTTCTTATCAACTATTTTTTCAGTTCTGACGACCTTGCGGAATAATTGCCTGCACGGATCACAACATATGACACTCATGCTGCGACAGAAATATTAAAAATATTTTTATAATTCAGTTGACGATTTATTTAGTAAATATAACAGAGTTCCATGGTTATTTAATATAATAATTTACCTTATATGACTGATTTTTTGCGATTTCGTTCACGGGAATAGGTAAGGTGTACATTGCTTAATTAAAATGGTCAGTGGAAGAGTCCGCGCATATCGAACCAACTTCGTACGCTTGTACTGGTTATAATAGTAAGTTAGACGGAAAAATCGAAACAGGGGCAGATTCAAATTTTTAAATTGATAAATTTATCAATTTCTTTTTTAATTTTGATTTAGTGACTGATGTTTCTGATTTTAGTGCGTGTAGATCTGAGACGTTATTGTCAATAGCACTATTATACGGTTGAGTTGAAAACAAGAAAATTAATTCAGTGATATATAAATAAAGTTGAAGGAAATATATACAATGTACAAAAAATTGATTTGATATATTTCCTAAGCCTATTAAATGGTTGGCTCATTCTTGACATTTATTCTCTCAATTGGTATCTATTGATACTTCTGTCGCAAAGACAAACTTATAAAAAGCTCTTAGCCAGTCCGAGGTTGCCTTTAACTATTCTCCGTCTTTTTTTTACTCTCAGTTGCTTAGAGAAAACTTAACGAGCATTTCAAAATAAACTAATATTTTACGCGCTGACATGAAAAATAAATTGTTACATTTGCTTGAATCAGTGTTCGACAAGCTGTGGCACGAGGGCCAACAACGAAAAATTTCAATATATAACTATATTTTTATAAATTACATATAACATATAATAAGTTATCACCCTATATTCAAGTTATTATTAGTTTTGTTTTAAAAGCTTATCAAAATATGACCTTTTCCGTGCAATATTATTCATTGCGATACGTAGGCGAGGGTAATAGCTAGTGCAGGCAAAGAAACATTGCTCACGGTGCAGCACCAAACCAATTATTTCAAAGCGTCTAGCTGTTTATTCAATAGGTTAATAAATGGATAACAGGGCAAAGTCCAATACAAACTAAACCAGACTAAAGAGACGAGATATGTTGGTACCTTGTATTATAAAAACTTTTTTATCATTAGCGCGATCGATGACAAATAATGGCTAATGAGTTTGTACAATAATAACGTTTGTTCCATATTGAGCTGTTTACCTATTCTTTGCTTTATTGTGGCCCGCATAAAATGCGAAATTAAATTTTGTTGCTCGAGACGCTGACAACCTTGGACCACCCCGAACTAGTACATCAGTGATCATTACTGTTAAAACCCATAGGCGTAACAAACCCCCGAAAAAAAGTCAGTTTATGTTTTTGGAAAGAAGATTTTGCTGTAGAGCAGTAAGACACAAATTTGTACTTATTTTCAACACCATTTTGCTCTATTCGTAAGCGATTCAACCACCTTAATTGGCTTACTATTACTCCTTCCTTCGAACGAACGACCAGATATTGATTAAATTTGACATCGAAGTAACACATGTGGACAGAAAGGAGTGCGTAAGCGTCGTATTGAAAAAATTTTGTGCTGGTACGTTCTAGATAAGGTCTTTTATGAATTAAAATTGTTTGAATATCCTGTTACTGTTTTCGATGTGAGATTTTAATCCAACTTATCAAATGTTTCGCAATAATGGGATGGATAATAATCTGTTATTGGACACGGATTGAACCTATGAATCGTTTCGTTATTACGTTGTTGTTAGAATTTTTCTTCTCATCCCACACATAAAAATTACTTTTCTCATTTACAAATGCAGTCATGTCCAACACAAGTGCTTTCTAGGGCCATAAATCATGTCGCCGCTATACTGAGGGTCGCACATTGTATATTCGGCTTCACACCATGAAATTCGAATCAACTTTAAAACAAAATTTCAAGCAATAATATACATGGCATAAAATATCGAAAAAAAACTGATCGAGCAATTTTTCTTTCCAATCAGTGCGAAACATGCTTTTGAAAGTCATTGTTCAACTTTTTAATATCAACGGGCCGTTTTGATACCACACAACGTAACTGGGTTGTCAAATTGTCTGTTCAAATTATAGGACTTTGAGCTCGAAACAGATTTGTGGCCTATTGAGCAAACAGCGTTGTCTTCACCTTTTTCAAAGAAGTACAACTTTTCTAAAATTTCCGATTTTCATCCTCACATTGGCTCTTTTCTTTCCAGTCATACCGGTAGAGTTGTTTTGTGGTTTATTTTTAGACGACTAAAATTAAATTGAATAACCTTCGACGAAAAGCACAACCGGATGTGACTAACTATCGATTACTTCACAATGGATGGAAAACTCATTGTCATAATCGCCACTGACGTAACACGATTGAGTGGCCTCCTGCAAAACTATGTTTTTCTTATGGCGTAGCCGCTTGAAATAAGAACCCCGAATCTCGTAAGATTTGAAATTATACTTGGAAGTTTTATGGTAAATATGTTTATACGTCCGTATTTGCATAATAGCTTCATGTGGGCCGCATGAATCCTTCCTGCCGGACCATGCGGCCGCGGGTTAGACATGTCTGCACATGGACTAATTGCCTTGAAATTTTCAGTCGCTAAAGCTATTAACTTTATTTGTTCCTAAATTCTCTGTTAGACCTGATGCTTCATTTAAAATGCGCTGTATAATTTTTAATTATGAAAACAGGTTTTTATGAAATCGTGACGGCTGATACCGTTAGTCCACTGTGACAAATTGCTTACCCGTACTACGGCGTTTTGGATTTCGTATTCTTATATTTCAGCATTGTTCTCTTGTTCCTTTATTATTGATTTGGTGCTGCATCATAATCACTGATTTTGCTTGCACTCGCTATGCTGTATAATTTGTGATTATGAAACACGTTTTATGACATCGTGGTGGTGGGTGCCGTTAGTCCACTAAGACAGATTGCTTACCCGTACTACGCGTTTGCAATTTCGTATCCATACATTTGTGCATCGCGCCCGTGTTCGTTCAGCACAAGTGCCGAGATAAAATACTTGTAACTATGCGCGTAATAATTTACTCAGTACGCGGCGCCTCATTATACTGCAATATTACAGCAAACGAGAGTAAAACAAATGAAGCCTGAAGTAATATAAATCAAGACAAGCCAATTATCACACTAATACGTTTGCAATGCCGATAAGTGATATCTAATAGCTGAACCCGTAACTCGAAAATGGGTAATAAAGCGTCAAAAGGTGAGTGAGTCTCGTAGAATATGATTTATTGCATAAGATAGGATTTACATATTTATTCCGAGGAAAGCCCATAAGCCCATGGCGAACCAAGGCCTCTTGTCTGGTTGCCAGTCCATGGGCGCCATTCGCCAAACTTCTTTATCGTTTAACGTGATTTTTTGAAAAAAATAACGGGAAGTGGAAATATCCCATCATCATATGTTCTTGTCATATATACACCTAATAATAGAACTTTCTATCTATTTTGTACAGAAAAACGATGGATCCGGTAAGAAAAATATCAAAAAACATGGTAATTTGTTTGCGCAGCATTTTTAATTAATAGTTAGATAAAACTTCTAAAACCATGACTCATAGAACTTTGAATTGTATTTTAAACTTGAAAGTAATTTCCAAATTTTACCAGAAATTTCATTTCAACGCTTTCATTGTTCGGAAGTATTATCTTTAATCAGGAAATAATTGTTAATGTATTGCCAGATAGATCGAGTAACAACGTCTTAAATCATAGACTATTGAGACACACTTATGTTATGAATATAAACTTATTAAAATTATAGGTTTGCCACAAATGTGGCAAAATGCAAGGACGCTAAGCTTTATCGTGGATACAGATTAATTATGTAATAAACTGAAATTTACGCTTATTGAATCGCGAAATTCATATTCGGACATCTATTTCTGTTATTTTATATGTCATATTTCGGCGCTCCAGAATATGGCGGACACGGTAGTATGTGTATCAGGTTAGGCCATAATTTCATTCCAATTTTTTCCTTATTTTTGTTTTATTATGAGTTCGGGGACTAGCCAAGCCAAGTGACACATACTTCGTTTCGGTGTCCGCCATCCTGGTTCACATACTTTGGGAGTAGCCAATTTTTATAATTTTAGGTGTTAGATGTATTGACATTCTGCTCAATACAACAACAAATTTTGATTTGAAGTTGTGATATATGCAAGCAACTTCTCAACATGATTTATATAAATATGATACACATGATGTCCATAATGTCCCTTTACTATTTCAATTTTGTAATGAAGTCAGTTATCAATATATCTCAACCAGGTTTGTTGTTTTTCAATCAGTAATTGTTTAAGTATTTTACTTCATTTCATACCAAAACGGTATGGATATGAGGTATAGATAAATTACCTTTGCAATTTCAAAATTTTTTAAGACTTTATGGGCACGCTATAAAACTCGCACGATTTAATGTTTATACTCACATTCACGTGCGACACCCACTATAATTACAGCGGATAATGATGAACTGTGGACCTTATTTCTGAGTTCTGGCATTATTCCAGATTAACTCATCTGCATGCTACCTAGTCTAAAACAAAATTTCTTCCATTTCATAATTCTACAGACCGGTCTGCAGTCATTCAATAAAAGCTTAGAAATATTCGAAATTAGACTGGACATGTCGATACTAAAACTTAATGTCGGCTAATTCTGGGTGTGGAACAGCAGTGAATATGTACAGAATAATAAAAATTTGACGAGTAAAAAGTTGGCGTTTATAAAAAGTGTGAAAACTCGCTACTCACAAGGTTTTGACGTTTTAGATTCGATCTCCGGGTAGTTTAAAGTTTGGACTCTCTTATCAAAGGAATTCATAGATACGATTCCAACCATATTTTCTCCTTGTATAATTATAATGCTGACTAATTTTACTTGATTACCTTTTTATTTGTTATACTGTGAATTCATATGTTTTAATTAAAGGATTTCTTTTATTATTGATTAAGATTTTCAAAATCATGACATGCATGCAACTGTGAAACATTTATACAAATATAGCAAGCAAAAACAACGTACTAAAAGACTTCAATCATATTTCACATTTGAATATCATAATAAATTCAGATAACTCAAGGTGTCACTAGAAATCATGTGGATGAAATATCAGATTTTTCAAAGGATTCAAAGAAACTTTAGGAATAAATAAGTAATAGCCTTCTAGCAAATAATACAATCTTTAACCGCTGAAAAGTTCAAAACAAAGTCCACTTCTTGTAACATTCTTCAAAAGACGTGAAATTCTAAATGTGTTTTTCAAGTAAGAACAATGCTACAAGTGAAAATATCGTAACATACTCAAAAACCCACACCACACTGAATTTAGTAGAATTAAGCAAGAATCTCGCTTGTCTTTTTGCAAAAGTAAGTAAGAGTCATTTTTGCTCAAGTTTTTCATTTGATATTTTGCCACAAGTTTCAAATTTCACACAAAACGTATCTGCTCTGTTCTACCTGGTTGAAAATGTATTGATATACGCTTGCCAAACTTTCTGTAGTCATGACATACACGTTCGTACGGGTTGAATGTTGCCGTCCATTTTGTGGATATCCAGTGTAAAATTTCAAACCGCTGAGTGATGTCACAGTTCCGTTGCGGAAAAGTAGAATCCCATTCTGGAAGGTAATATTTCTTAGTAGCAGCATTTAGTATTGTATAAAAGTTCGTCAATTAAAGCTTCTTTGATGCCATATTGATATCTAACACATAGGGTACTGAACTAAAACCCTGATCCATCTAGACTAGATACAGGGTGATCCAAGATTGCGAGATCGGAGGGCTGCAAAAACTTTTGAGGCGGTCTCGCGGGCTGCAGTCGAAAAAAAAAACCCGAAAGTGATCAAAAATCGGGAGTTTATTCACTTTAAAGATATTTAAAAATGGGGGTTTATCGTTTTATTCAGTTTTTTTTTCTTCAAGGAACTGTATGAAGCCATTGGTCTTTTTTAATTTGCTTGCCGAGGATTATCGTGGTATTTTCGTAACTTTTCTCGTGTTTGGTTTTGGAATGTCGCTCAACATTATATTCTTTTGTGACAGATATTACTTGAAACACACATCATACACTGTGGTTTAGGGTGGTTGTGGGTAAGGAGACGTGTTATCTCTAGTTTACCTCGGTCACCCTTTTTCTACACTCATTGTATGATGAATTGTTATATTTGAAAAACTTTACTACTTGTAGAGTGCGCAGATTTAGTGCTACCGTCAAAAAACAATCAAGTGCGTCTAAGATAGGTTAGGACCTCGGACCCAAATAAAAAAAAAGCTGGATCGGTCACATGGCCAACGCTTGACACATGGGCCCGCAGTTTGGACCACCTTGATCTACAACAAGAGTGTGCAGCCTTTAATAGAGGAGGGCCAGATAAAATACACGGGTGAAACCGCGGGTCACACTTTTATTCAACATAGGCTGTCCAGTAGTTACAGGCGCGCAAATGTTGGTTATTGATCTTATGACTTGCTTGTTGGCACAAGCTAGCTGTTGAGAAATTGTAAAGTCATAGGCACTGATAAGAAATGGTCGTAGGCATAGATGAATTGAACTCAGGTATACGCTTCGCAACGCAAAGGGATTGGAATCACTCACACGTACAAAATTAATTCAATTGAAATTTCGTTTTGCGGACCACACTTTCAAAATTGGCACTTCTCCGCGGACCGCAAAATTTTTTCTTGAGAGCCACATTTGGGCTGTGGGTTGCACACCCTTGACCTGAAAACACGCCAGCGATCACCAATGTACACAGAAATAAATTTTCGAGCTGGAAAGAAACAGCCGACGCTTCTCATGTATGAGTGAAAGCCGATTGCAACAATTTATCTAATATCTCATCATTCCCGATTCTAATTGTTCACAATCACAGACAAAATTTTCATAAAAAACGATAGTTTGGCGAAATACCGACACTTCGCACAGGACTTACGATGGGGTCGTATGTCATGCCAAGCCAAAATCCTTTATGTCCTTTCCCATTCATCTTGTTGTTACGTATGTATGCTATGACCTTGTCCATATGAACTTGGCTGTATATATTTGCCAGTTTCCCACCTATCTGTTGGCATTTGGCGACTGCTGATGCTTTTCGGACCTCCACAGATGCTAAAGGTATAAATATTCTTCCGCCATAGCGCACAATATCTGTAATTCAAATAAGAAGAAGTTGTTAAATCATATAAAAATTGTATCTACTTGTGTCATCGGGCATTCACATATCCGGTCAATGATGGCGATTCATTGTGCTTGTCGTGTGGATTGCTCTGGTATAAATTCTAATTAACGGAAATAAGACGAAAATTTCAAAATAAATTTGGTGTTTTTGTTTTGAAATTCACTAGTCTATCGTCAAAATAACGATTTTGCAAAACCTAGAGCCTGATTCGCCCAGGACTGAAGCTATTTTTCAATGGGTATTATTGCGTCGGGTTTACTGGTATTATAATGTTTCACCTCCCCCTTGAGTTTCCTAAAGTGTTGTTAAATTTAATTTAAACTTGACCACTTAAATTTAAATTATAATTATGACGTCATGATACATCTTACATATTCATGATGTCATAACCGATTCCACAAGGCCAAATGACATCTTTTTCATATAGGGGCCATATAAATGCATAACTTATACTTATAGGATCTCTCATCGTCTAACTGTGGCCCTTCCTAAACCCCATAATATTTCTTTGGTTCCTAAAACGCTACAATATTAAATTATCATTATTTACATTATCAATATCAAAACGCAAATTATATTACAAACCTCGTTCAGCGAACCCAGGGGGAATAGTCGCAACCACTGCGGGAATCATGGTTGTTTGTTCTTCTGATTTCGCTGTTGTACTTTCTAGCCATTCATTCATGGTTTCGTTCATTTCTGCTCGTAGCTGTTCCATTGCTGAACGCAAATGATAGTTAATTATGAGGTAAATCCAGATCCCATTAGATTAGAAACCCGAACGACATAAGACTACAAGAGAGCTACGCCCAAATATATGGACACGTCTGTTCGCAGTACAGTATACGGTTTACCGTACCGTCAGATCACAGTCTACAAATATATTCACACCAAGCGAAGCAGTACATGGCGTCCGATGTCCGCAGAACGTTCGGTGACGTCATGGCAAACAAAAACAAATCTCACAGAGATAACAGAAATATTTGAAATAAATAAAAGTAATAGCCTTCTGGAGAAAAATTTCATCTTTAACCACTAAAAATTTCAAAGCAAGTGGTCCAGTGATCAAAGAGAAAAGCAGTTTTTTAATATTTCCACTAGGTGTCAAATAACCACAAGAACAACACAAGAGAGCAATGCTCAAATATATGGACACGCAGAACAATTCCCCAAAAATCATATGCGGTGACCAACGACCAACATACCGGCGGTGACTTACCAGTACCTGTATCGGGGTACCGAGACGGTACAGGGACTGTCATAGATATTTTAGGTCCTGTGACAATTGAAACATCAGTTGAAATATCTCGTGATATGAGTCAATTATGTACCGTATTATCGGATCAGGTACCGAACCACAGTCAAACATTTCACATAAAAACGTTACTAAATAACATGCGTCAACTTAACACCAGCCGAATCGGGGTACAATTTTTGGTACAGTGACTGTCATAGCCGTTTAGGGCTGATGGACAATTCGACTACACGGACAACTCACCAGGCCTAGGGTGGTGTAGCCAGTCTGCGGACAATTTCATTCAAACCGCTATAAAACAAAAACCAATATATCTAACCCGTTAATTTATTCACCGTGGGTGCATCGGCGGCATTTATTCTACACGCTAAACCTCGTATTAACTTTCTACGACAAAGGGTTGAAGCTATACAAATCCCCAAAGTACGGCCCTCGAAAGACGTATTTGCGACCGAACGACCTGTGTGCGACCACGGATTTCAAGCCTTGATCATCGTTTATGCTGCGTCGAGACTATCGCATACGCAGCCATACAGCAATCAAACAGACAAAACACGGTGGTCGCAAATTGGTTGACAATTGTTGGTCTTGTGACAGCGTGAAAACATTGGGCTTCTAATTGCATTTCTGACCGTCATATATTTCAAGAACACGGTTATTTCGAACAAAACTCGTTAAATTATAAACAAAGCACCACATCACAGCAATCAAACAGACGAAAACACGGTGGCCGCAAATTGGTTGACAAAGATATTATCGACGTATCGGAAATGCACACCCCCTATTCCCCCTCCTTCAAATGTAGAAACGCGAAACTTTCAAATATGGTTAAAAGAAACACAACTCTACCCACCTGCCAAGTTTCATCTTTTTATTTCTCATATTTGTATGGATTTTCAAGCTTTTGACAGCGACGAGTTAGTTCAGTGTCACCGCGCTGTGTTACGGTACCAGAACTTCTCTATCTTTAGAAGGTCCTGTCTTGTGACAGCGTGAATTGAAATTGCAAGATGGTCCGTTGGACACAAAATGGCGTCCGATACTCCTAGAACGTTTAGTGACGTAATAGCAAACAAAAACAAATCTTACAGAGCTAACAGAAATATTTGAAATAAATAAAGTAATAGCCTAATAAATAAAAGTAATAACAACATAATATTGAAACGATCGTTATGTCCACTACGTGTCCAATAATGTGATATATGGTGACTCAGGAAGTAGTTAACTTGGGACCTACTGCTTATAAATCTCTACAATAATTTGCTAGTGTGTATATAAAGCGATGGTTTAAATATATTTGCGAAGCAATTTATATTTCAGCTTCATCTAATCTTTGCGCACATTTGGAGCATGTACTCGACATAATATGACAGTGGCGTATCCAGGATATTATATGAGGGAGGGATTAGGTGACGCTGTCATTGGAATGATTTGTTTTGAAAGAATAAAGAGCTCTGATCCGCGGTTGATTTGGGAGTTATAAAAATCGGTCTTAGCGATTTAGATTAAAACAAACATAAAATTATGCGCCTTTTTTGAACTAAATCCTGACAGCGTTTGCTCTTCGTGTAGTCATCGAGTAGAAATTTTATTCATGCTCTTAAGAAAAAAATGTTGTTTCGAGAGATGTAAAGTCAAGGAAAAGTTCAATCTACTCCGTGGCTTTCTTGCTGTTTTTATTAGACTTTTATTATTTTTAAACAAAAATTGTTGATTCGAAATCGGGGAACCGAATAAAAATAGATTTCATATTCGTTTGACTTAGTGCTTTAAAGGCTAGTGCTTGTTGCTGTATTGTTTTTAACCCGATGGTCTGAGATAAGTAACTGAGTAGCCAGGCGATTTGTAAAATCAAATTTGTAGCAAAACTGATAGTTCAGGCAAACGAGTAAAAACCCCAATCTGAGCAATGACAGTGCGCCATATGATCCGTAAAATACAGTTGTTCAAAAATAGTGTTCCACTCTTCTTATTGTAAACGGTTTTTATATTAATTACTCTTAAATTTCGAACGGGTGAAAATTTATATCACGTTTAATGTATCCTAGATTGTGTCTGTGTTACCAAGATTGTCAAAGGAAAAGTTATGACTATTGGAGATTGCAAGGTAAATGTACCATTTATTACGACACGAGTTTCAAATAGGCGATGAATAACCCGCTCTGTAGCGAGCAAGCTAAAAAATTCGACTCATAGACGAATATTTACTGATTCGTTGTCTAAAATTGAGGGCTATAACGTGATTTTTTGAAAAAAATAACGGGAAGTGGAAATATCCCATCATCATATATATGTTCTTGTCATATATACACCTAATAATAGAACTTTCTATCTATTTTGTACAGAAAAACGATGGATCCGGTAAGAAAAATATCAAAAAACTTGGTAATTTGTTTGCGCAGCATTTTTTAATTAATAGTTAGATAAAACTTCTAAAACCATGACTCATAGAACTTTGAATTGTATTTTAAACTTGGAAGTAATTTCCAAATTTTACCAGAAATTTCATTTCAACGCTTTCATTGTTCGGAAGTATTATCTACAATCAGGAAATAATTGTTAATGTATTGCCAGATAGATCGAGTAACAACGTCTTAAATCATAGACTATTGAGACACACTTATGTTATGAATATAAACTTATTAAAATTATAGGTTTGCCACAAATGTGGCAAAATGCAAGGACGCTAAGCTTTATCGTGGATACAGATTAATTATGTAATAAACTGAAATTTACGCTTATTGAATCGCGAAATTCATATTCGGACATCTATTTCTGTTATTTTATATGTCATATTTCGGCGCTCCAGAATATGGCGGACACGGTAGTATGTGTATCAGGTTAGGCCATAATTTCATTCCAATTTTTTCCTTATTTTTGTTTTATTATGAGTTCGGGGACTAGCCAAGCCAAGTGACACATACTTCGTTTCGGTGTCCGCCATCCTGGTTCACATACTTTGGGAGTAGCCAATTTTTATAATTTTAGGTGTTAGATGTATTGACATTCTGCTCAATACGACAACAAATTTTGATTTGAAGTTGTGATATATGCAAACAACTTCTCAACATGATTTATATAAATATGATACACATGATGTCCATAATGTCCCTTTACTATTTCAATTTTGTAATGAAGTCAGTTATCAATATATCTCAACCAGGTTTGTTGTTTTTCAATCAGTAATTGTTTAAGTATTTTACTTCATTTCATACCAAAACGGTATGGATATGAGGTATAGATAAATTCCCTTTGCAATTTCAAAAATTTTTAAGACTTTATGGGCACCCTATAAAACTCGCACGATTTAATGTTTATACTCACATTCACGTGCGACACCCACTATAATTACAGTGGATAATGATGAACTGTGGACCCTATTTCTGAGTTCTGGCATTTTTCAAGATTAACTCATCTGTATGCTACCTAGTCTAAAAAAAAATTTCTTCCATTTCATAATTCTACAGACCGGTCTGCAGTCATTCAATAAAAGCTTAGAAATATTCGAAATTAGACTGGACATGTCGTTACTAAAACTTAATGTCGGCTAATTCTGGATGTGGAACAGCAGTGAATATGTACAGAATAATAAAAATTTGACGAGTAAAAAGTTGGCGTTTATAAAAAGTGTGAAAACTCGCTACTCACAAGGTTTTGACGTTTTAGATTCGATCTCCGGGTAGTTTAAAGTTTGGACTCTCTTATCAAAGGAATTCATAGATACGATTCCAACCATATTTTCTCCTTGTATAATTATAATGCTGACTAATTTTACTTGATTACCTTTTTATTTGTTATACTGTGAATTCATATGTTTTAATTAAAGGATTTCTTTTATTATTGATTAAGATTTTCAAAATCATGACATGCATGCAACTGTAAAACATTTATACAAATATAGCAAGCAAAAACAACGTACTAAAAGACTTCAATCATATTTCACATTTGAATATCATAATAAATTCAGATAACTCAAGGTGTCACTAGAAATCATGTGGATGAAATATCAGATTTTTCAAAGGATTCAAAGAAACTTTAGGAATAAATAAGTAATAGCCTTCTAGCAAATAATACAATCTTTAACCGCTGAAAAGTTCAAAACAAAGTCCACTTCTTGTAACATTCTTCAAAAGACGTGAAATTCTATATGTGTTTTTCAAGTAAGAACAATGCTACAAGTGAAAATATCGTAGCATACTCAAAAACCCACACCGCACTGAATTTAGTAGAATTAAGCAAGAATCTCGCTTGTCTTTTTGCAAAAGTAAGTAAGAGTCATTTCTGCTCAAGTTTTTCATTTGATATTTTGCCACAAGTTTCAAATTTCACACAAAACGTATCTGCTCTGTTCTACCTGGTTGAAAATGTATTGATATACGCTTGCCAAACTTTCTGTAGTCATGACATACACGTTCGTACGGGTTGAATGTTGCCGTCCATTTTGTGGATATCCAGTGTAAAATTTCAAACCGCTGAGTGATGTCACAGTTCCGTTGCGGAAAAGTAGAATCCCATTCTGGAAGGTAATATTTCTTAGTAGCAGCATTTAGTATTGTATAAAAGTTCGTCAATTAAAGCTTCTTTGATGCCATATTGGCATCTAACACATAGGGTACTGAACTAAAACCCTGATCCATCTAGATTCTAGATACAGGGTGATCCAAGATTGCGAGATCGAAGGGCCGCAAAAACTTTTGAGGCGGTCTCGCGGGCTGCAGTCGAAAACAAAACCCGAAAGTGATCAAAAATCGGGAGTTTATTCACTTTAAAGATATTTAAAAATGGGGGTTTATCGTTTTATTCATTTTTTTTTTCTTCAAGGAAACTGTATGAAGCCATTGGTCTTTTTAAATTTGCTTGCCGAGGATTATCGTGGTATTTTCGTAACTTTTCTCGTGTTTGGTTTTGGAATGTCGCTCAACATTATATTCTTTTGTGACATATATTACTTGAAACACACACCAGACACTGTGGTTTAGGGTGGTTGTGGGTAAGGAGACGTGTTATCTCTAGTTTACCTCGGTCACCCTTTTTCTACACTCATTGTATGATGAATTGTTATATTTGAAAAACTTTACTACTTGTAGAGTGCGCAGATTTAGTGCTACCGTCAAAAAACAACCAAGTGCGTCTAAGATAGGTTAGGACCTCGGACCCAAATAAAAAAAAGCTGGATCGGTCACATGGCCAACGCTTGACACATGGGCCCGCAGTTTGGACCACCTTGATCTACAACAAGAGTGTGCAGCCTTTAATAGAGGAGGGCCAGATAAAATACAAGGGTGAAACCGCGGGTCACACTTTTATTCAACATAGGCTGTCCAGTAGTTACAGGCGCGCAAATGTTGGTTATTGATCTTATGACTTGCTTGTTGGCACAAGCTAGCTGTTGAGAAATTGTAAAGTCATAGGCACTGATAAGAAATGGTCGTAGGCATAGATGAATTGAACTCAGGTATACGCTTCGCAACGCAAAGGGATTGGAATCACTCACACGTACAAAATTAATTCAATTGAAATTTCGTTTTGCGGACCACACATTCAAAATTGGCACTTCTCCGCGGACCGCAAAATTTTTTCTTGAGAGCCACATTTGGGCTGTGGGTTGCACACCCTTGACCTAAAATCACGCCAGCGATCACCAATGTACACAGAAATGAATTTTCGAGCTGGAAAGAAACAGCCGACGCTTCTCATGTATGAGTGAAAGCCGATTGTAACAATTTATCTAATATCTCATCATTCCCGATTCTAATTGTTCACAATCACAGATAAAATTTTCATAAAAAACGATAGTTTGGCGAAATACCGACACTTCGCACAGGACTTACGATGGGGTCGTATGTCATGCCAAGCCAAAATCCTTTATGTCCTTTCCCATTCATCTTGTTGTTACGTATGTATGCTATGACCTTGTCCATATGAACTTGGCTGTATATATTTGCCAGTTTCCCACCTATCTGTTGGCATTTGGCGACTGCTGATGCTTTTCGGACCTCCACAGATGCTAAAGGTATAAATATTCTTCCGCCATAGCGCACAATATCTGTAATTCAAATAAGAAGAAGTTGTTAAATCATATAAAAATTGTATCTACTTGTGTCATCGGCGATGGCGATTCATTGTGCTTGTCGTGTGGATTGCTCTGGTATAAATTCTAATTAACGGAAATAAGACGAACATTTCAAAATAAATTTGGTGTTTTTGTTTTGAAATTCACTAGTCTATCGTCAAAATAACGATTTTGCAAAACCTAGAGCCTGATTCGCCCAGGACTGAAGCTATTTTTCAATGGGTATTATTGCGTCGGGTTTACTGGTATTATAATGTTTCACCTCCCCCTTGAGTTTCCTAAAGTGTTGTTAAATTTAATTTAAACTTGACCACTTAAATTTAAATTATAATTATGACGTCATGATACATGTTACATATTCATGATGTCATAACCGATTCCACAAGGCCAAATGACATCTTTTTCATATAGGGGCCCTATAAATGCATAACTTATACTTATAGGATCTCTCATCGTCTAACTGTGGCCCTTCCTAAACTCCATAATATTTCTTTGGTTCCTAAAACGCTACAATATTAAATTATCATTATTTACATTATCAATATCAAAACGCAAATTATATTACAAACCTCGTTCAGCGAACCCAGGGGGAATAGTCGCAACCACTGCGGGAATCATGATTGTTTGTTCTTCTGATTTCGCTGTTGTACTTTCTAGCCATTCATTCATGGTTTCGTTCATTTCTGCTCGTAGCTGTTCCATTGCTGAACGCAAATGATAGTTAATTATGAAGTAAATCCAGATCCCATTAGATTAGAAACACGAACGACATAAGACTTAAATACAAGAGAGCTACGCCCAAATATATGGACACGTCTGTTCGCAGTACAGTATACGGTTTACCGTACCGTCAGATCCCAGTCTACAAATATATTCACACCAAGCGAAGCAGTACATGGCGTCCGATGTCCGCAGAACGTTCGGTGACGTCATGGAAAACAAAAACAAATCTCACAGAGATAACAGAAATATTTGAAAAAAATGAAAGTAATAGCCTTCTGGAGAAAAATTCCATCTTTAACCACTAAAAATTTCAAAGCAAGTGGTTCAGTGATCAAAGAGAAAAGCGGTTTTTTAATATTTCCACTAGGTGTCCAAAAAGTGTCAAAGAACAACATAACAACAAAACGATCGTTATGTCCACTAAACGTGTCCAATAACTAAAATGTAATTACATAAAACTCCATTTCCAATTTTTATTATACAGTGTGGAGTTCCAAATATTTTGTGGCAAATGTATAAACAAGCCTGTAGGCGCCCAGGATCTCGGCTAATAGTTGAGCCCCGCACTTAAGCAACTCGTTGCCATCCTCAGAAACTCAGATCTATAACGGCAGCGTGATCAAGTGAACGGGTTACCAAAACTGCAAGTTCATTTTTAAGCGCTGCGAGTTTCGTAGACATTCTTGCGTGAATTGTAGCTGAAAATTAAAATCATGCTCACCAAAATTACTAAGGCTTGCCTAGTTTATGGAGTATCGAGACGAAAGTCGACTTGTTCGAAAGAGTATTTTTCTCTGCGGAAGGTAACGTTCTTGGAATTTCAATTTTCGACTTGGTTGACAAGAAAACAGCGATACATTGTAAAAAAATATTGAAAATTTCACAACAATCAGCGCACTTTTTTTTCATTGTTGCCATGGAAACAAAACTTCAATCCGGACTTATGAAACACACATTATGGGTGACAAGATAGCTCAGGTGTGAAATTGCATCTAGATTGGTCCCAGCCGTTAAGATCCTAGCTAGAGCTTGGACACACAGACATAACGACCGATAATAAGGGTCCCCAATAGCGGAGATCCAATGAAATATCATTACGGTATTTACCTTTATTGACTTTTTGATTAATCAGGGCTTCTAGTGTATCATAATTAACGTCCCCTTGCGATCCTTTGGGTCCAGGTGGGCCTGAATCTCCTTTGGGGCCTTTCTTGCCCGGAATGGTCTGCACTTCACCTCTGGGAACATAAGTAAATCAATCAAATGGTATTAATTAGCCATTAAGGAAAAGCATAATAAAATGAAAGCAAAAATTAATATGAAATATTTGTATCTATTCATTCCTTTGTCCGGGATGCGCAGGATAACCGCGAAATGATATAATTATCATCGGAGCCTCGCAATGAATATTAGAAAAATATTTATGGATACAAACTTACCACAAAACAAACACTTTTAGGCGAGAACTGCTTTTTTTATGTGTTTTCACAACTTTGTTCAATACTGACCCCGACTAAGTATGGAATGAACAGGATTATTTAATTTTGGTGTTGTTGGTTAGGTGTCCTTAAAACTAGAGTCGCAGGTCAAGCTGCGTCCGAAATCAAGTTAATCACTGGGCTAAGTTTCACGAATTAATAATTGAATACATATATGAAATAGTCCACAAACATTGCCACAAAACAGCCGTTTCCGAGAGTTTTGGGGTCAATCGGAAATCGCAGCAAAGGTCATGGGCATCACAAGGTAGGGACCGAATTTTGTTTACTGCAATCAGAAAAGTCTAAAGGATTTTTGTCTTTCAGACAGTATTACATCATATCAATTTAAAGTCAATTCTCTCTTTTCACGAGTATTCCCACGGGAGACGCAAGTCGATACGAATTGTCCACCAATTTTGCCACTACGTATAAATTCGTTATATGACTCGAGTTTCCCCAGCACTGTTTAGATCATTCCGCCATTCTTCCCACACACTTATGTTATTATTCTTAATATCATGTTACCATATTATTATTATTGTATTGACACGTAGTGGACATAACGATCGTTTCAATATTATGTTGTTGTTGTTGTTCTTTGACGCGTTTTTAAAAAGTCGCTTTTCTCTTTGATTACTGGACTAATTGCTTTGAAATTTTCAGTGGTTGAAGATGAAATTTTTCTCCAGAAGGCTATTACTTTTATTTATTTCAAATATTTCTGTTAGCTCTGTAAGATTTGTTTTTGTTTGCTATGACGTCACTAAACGTTCTAGGAGTATCGGACGCCATTTTGTGTCCAACGGACCATCTTGCAATTTCAATTCACGCTGTCACAAGACAGGAGTTCTGGTACCGTAACACAGCGCGGTGACACTGAACTAACTCGTAGCTGTCAAAAGCTTGAAAATCCATACAAATATGAGAAATAAAAAGATAAAACTTGGCAGGTGGGTAGAGTTGTGTTTCTTTTAACCATATTTGAAAGTTTCGCGTTTCTACATTTGAAGGAGGGGGAATAGGGGGTGTGCATTTCCGATACGTCGATAATATCTTTGTCAACCAATTTACGGCCACCGTGTTTTCGTCTGTTTGATTGCTGTGATGTGGTGCTTTGTTTATAATTTAACGAGTTTTGTTCGAAATAACCGTGTTCTTGAAATATATGACGGTCAGAAATGCAATTAGAAGCCCAATGTTTTCACGCTGTCACAAGACCAACAATTGTCAACCAATTTGCGACCACCGTGTTTTGTCTGTTTGATTGCTGTATGGCTGCGTATGCGATAGTCTCGACGCAGCATAAACGATGATCAAGGCTTGAAATCCGTGGTCGCACACTGGTCGGTCGGTGGCAAATACGTCTTTCGAGTGCCGTACTTTGGGGATTTGTATAGCTTCAACCCTTTGTCGTAGAAAGTTAATACGAGGTTTAGCGTGTAGAATAAATGCCGCCAATGCACCCACGGTGAAAAAATTAACGGGTTAGATATATTGGTTTTCGTTTTATAGCGGTTTGAATGAAATTGTCCGCAGACTGGCTACACCACCCTAGGTCTGGTGAGTTGTCCGTGTAGTCGAATTGTCCATCAGCCCTAAACGGCTATGACAGTCACTGTACCAAAAATTGTACCCCGATTCGGCTGGTGTTTAGTTGACGCATGTTATTTAGTAACGTTTTTATCTGAAATGTTTGACTGTGGTTCGGTACCTGATCCGATAATACGGTACATAATTGACTCATATCACGAGATATTTCAACTGATGTTTCAATTGTCACAGGACCTAAAATATCTATGACAGTCCCTGTACCGTCACGGTACCTCGATACAGGTACTGGTAAGTCACCGCCGGTATGTTAGTCGTTGGTCACCGCATATGATTTTTGGGGAATTGTTCTGCGTGTCCATATATTTGAGCATTGCTCTCTTGTTCATATTATTTTTAATAAAATACTATTTTATTCTTTATTTTTCAGTTTGCATTATTTTTCTGGAACTATAGGGTGTTCATGAAATCTCGAAATTTTTTAAAAATTGGAAAGGGAATTTATCGACACCATATTCTGTTTTGGCCCTCACAGATGTGTTAAATGAGGTAAAAATACTTTAACAATTACTGATTAATAAACAACAAACCTGGATATATTAAGACTTTACGTATATTTAAATTCCTAACATACCTATTTTCATTATATTGGTTTTCCGCATCCACGTTTTCGAGCTCGAAACAAATCCTCTGTCGTCCAGTCCCACCCGCGACGATGCAAAGTGAGAGAAATAACCCCAATGTTATTATTTGTGATGTCATAGTTATTTTCTTAAAACGAGAGAAACCTGTGATAATAGAAATATCTACGTCATATTCGTTGAATTACTTTATAGTGTTCAATCGTAACTGCAAACTTAGTCTGAAGATATATAAACAGTGTGTTGTGAGGCTAGAGTTCACTTTACCTCCACCAATGTTTTTTTATAAAACACTTTGCGCCTCTGCACGGGACTCTAAACTAAAGGATCCACTGATATATGAAGATAGATATTATTATTTAAATCGACCGCAATCTTTCCAAATCGACAAAGCCTACAATATTTATTAGTCTAGATGAGACGGCGGCATTGCATTCCGAAGCGAGATAATGAAACAACATAGATAGGTCCAACGCTTTAGCTTTCATTCAATATATATATAAACTACAGTGACTCGAATTTCTCTACTATCGATTTTTTCCTTTAACCCTAAAACACCATCGAAGCTTCTTTTGAAATAAAAAAATGAACTGATTTGTAATCATCTTAATTTCTATAATGCCTGAATCCACCCTCCAGATTTCTTCATTTTCAAATATCGCAACATTGCGAATACTGTACCATGTTTACATATATATATATATATATATATATCGCCGGATGAGAACAGAAGAGGCTTAAGTCACATTTTTGGGAAATTTACTTTTTCAATGTTTTGGGGTGCTGAGTCTACAAGATGGTGGTTTTGAAATCTTGAATTTCTCAATAATAAAAATTTTAGCTGGACTTAGAACCATAATATTTTGTAGAAACTAAAAACAGAATGGGACTACGTTCCAATATGATGGGCATAGACATCAGAAATAAAATGTCTGAAACTTACATCTCTAAGAATTTGTTCAGTGCAACTTAGGCCTAGGTCAGAAAATTTCAGAAGTTGTTGAAAACAGATTGGGCAGAAAGTCCTTTGTAGGAAGTAATAAAACAGAAAGGAAGTGTCAAAATAAATTGATTACAAAGATATTCTCATCCACATTGAAATAACCAGAGCTCAGGTCTTTACTAAGTGTGAATATCTAGAAATTCAAAAATAACGAAGTTCAAAATTGTTTTTTGTGCTTTTCTCCAAACTCAAAATTGTGACTTAGGCCTGTTCTGTTCTCATCCGGCGATCCATATGTATATATTTTCCCTCCACATAACCGTATCATTTTGACTTGGGATGTAGATCTTAAAAAATAGAATTTCCGCACACATCAATGTTTAAAATAATTTCACTGACCAACTACGTTTTATTAACTCGATTCTTCGTTCACACGAATTTATATTAGTAGTTTGGTTTACCAAAATCCCCTGAGATCGTTTGTCGGTCATGAACTCATCTTAGTAGGCTCGTATTGAATTCGTTCCTTAGAAATTACCCCGAGTTTAACAGCTGTTATACAAACAACTACAAGACCAGGCATGCGTTTTACAGCAATCAAGTGTGATCAAGCTACCCCCAGCCATATTTGCATCAAGCGCCACTCGCGGCAAAGTTCAATGGCATCACATGGATGGTACTGAACTCTAAAAAGTCTGAAGTATCTTGTCTTTCGTTACGTTAGTTGTTTAAAGCTTGTTGAGGTTTTGTGTTTTGACTGCTCGGAACGCTTTGAAATGATGTATGAAACGTCTAAATACGTAATATTGCAATACGAAAATGTTCTCTTTTGTGTGAAGGCAATGTGGACAAAAACACGTAGCCTTCTCGTAGATTTTAGACACGTGCGCAAACCAACAAAGCGCTTTTGAAACTGATCGAAAACTAAAGTTTGATTACTCGGCAAAGACACCGCCTGGCAATCAATACCATACTTGTCAAACACTTAATTAAGAAGCAATCGCCAAATAGAGCAACTTTGCTTTGTATATTCGATAACTATGCATTTACACTGGTACGAGAATATCGAGCGGAGACCGAAGACTTATCGATCGATTCATGCGCTCTTACTCCATAGTGACATCGTGTGTCCCTTTGCTAATTAATTATTAACTCGCTAATTATACGACATAATTCATCCAAAATCAATATGCTTTTGGTCCGAGATATGATGAATGCGCACTTATGCACATGTAAAATTTGGAAGAGATTCAACTTCGCTTTCGTGAGATATCGACTAACATACTAAAGTGTCTAACAGACAAACACACAAACAGACAAATACATAGACATCAAGATCGATAAGTAACAACTTCTCGTAGACATGCAAAAAATCCGGTTCACGTACCACCTGGTGGGGCTACTGGTTTAGCCTGCTCTTTAGTCTAGTTACTCATGAATGAGAAGATAAGGACTAAGGTTAACTAATCATTTGGATGTAACATGATCAAAACTGCTATAAAAGGAAAATATCATTGGCGCTCGTAACACTGTCACTCAATTGCATTTACTAATACCGGTACCTGCCGACCAGCTGGAAAGATCAAGTACCACATAAATGTTTTACCGATTAATTTTGGCGCTGTTTGGACAATAAATGATCGAGTTATTGATTCTATGGTACCTGCCGACCAGGACAAATTTCACTTTCCAACGTTCGAATTCTAGTCACTCTTGTTGCGAGCCCGGAAAATCTTCACACGACCCACAGTTTGGGAACCACTGAATTGGGAACCACAGCTTCTTTAGTTGACATGCATAATAGATTGGGTCCTAGTCAACCGGTTGTTTTCCAAACTTTTTTTTGGCAGCGGCCCCTTCGGTCAACTTTTTTGACTACTGAACGCTTTACCCCACCCCGCTCTCTAGCTGCCCAAATCGCCATCTGCGCCCCTCCAGTTATTGAAAACGTCCACAAGGGGGCGTTTTCGCCAACATTGGGAACCGCTAGGTTAAAGGTTCTACCGTTAGGTGTGCCGACATGTGACGACGATGAATTCCTTTACACATAGCATTTGAAGGTGATGTAGGTTAACAAAGGATCGGTGGCAGAAAACGTGAATGCACCAGCGCGGTGAGATCTCAACCTACGAAGACTGTTGCACGTGATTATTTGCATAACATACAGTCAGGTAGGATTGGGTTGGGGGGTGCGAGAGGTCACAAGATGGATTCGGAAATTTAAATGTAACGGCTCTTGAAACGGTCTGCGCGTTCGTTAAAACTACCGGCTTTTTCGTGTTATAATAAATTTTTCTGTCTCGTAATAACTACAATAATTCAATATGTCTCTCTATTTTAATTCATTTGTGTTCAAGGTAACTCGCGGTTGTGGCGACTCACGACAAAATAAACTCATTACCTATCTAAAATACCACGCCAATCCGCGGACATAATAAAGTGTGATCAACTGCCCGATTATATTTAGTTTTCATATATATTGCACTCATGCGAATTTGTTGTAGTCATTAGAAAGATCTGGTATAATAGCCAAAAAGGAAATTGAAATTAAGTACAATTAAAATACATTTAAAGTATATTAGTAGATGAAAAATACATATTCATCGACACGAAATCTCCGCGGTACGGCTCCTGAGTCAGTCCTCGAGATTACACCAGTCGGTAAAAGAGCCGACTTTTTCAACGGATATGTAATGGTTTTTCTGTTGAATAAAATATTCAATCCATGATCGATATACTTATTTGAAATGGTTGCTTTATTCATTTAATTGTGATAAATTAAATCTGCGATTGCGTCGATAAAATAAAAGCACCACTACTCCAAAATAACACGGTAATCCGAAACCATAAAAATGTCGATTACATTTTGTTTTGATTTGTATTCTTGCCAATTTCACCAATATGAGCTGTCCCTGCAACTCTTACTCCGCTCTATCGCAATGCCGCCACTCGATTAATTTCGAGATATCACCGTTATAGATATAGAATTTATGAGATTTCAATGTCTAAGAAAGTGTTTTTAATCTGTCGCGGTCCACCCCAAAACAAAACTCATGGCGTTTTCCGTTTTATTTTTAGTATTTTATAATGCCACTTTTACAGTAAAGAAATTTTTAGTTACGGATTCACTTCTTTATTCTATCTTTAGCATCTCGTCGCTGATGATTATATAATAAAAACTAACTCGTTTTCCTCATAGGTGTCATGGTTCCATTCGAGAACAAAAAAGTAATTATAATCGTCTTCGCGACACAAGAATATGTCGGATTTAGGGAGAATAAACACCGAAATCAAGATTTTTAGGGTTTAAATAACACGCCACGCTGACGTAAACAATGGAGATTTAAACAAAATGCAATCGCAAACGCCTTATTGACTTTATTTTCCACCGGTCAAGGGCCGGGGAAACGTCCACATGCATAATAACTATTAAAAAATGAACTGCTTTTGAATTTACATAAATTCATTTGCACTTCTCCATTTTGTTTGAAACGTTAGTCAAGCCAAGAAGTCTGTAATCCTTGCTTATTTTTAACACACAGTAAATAGTTTTTGCATTGCTCAATAGTGATGAGGTAAACAATTGATTGAAATTTTACGTGTCTTATGTAAACGTTTAAGCAGAAAATACATTAAAGCATAGGTTTAGTGCTTGTTTAGTTTTACTTAATAATTAGTTTGACTTTGCCAGGTATTGCAAACTGAGCGGAAAAACGAGAATGTATGATGACCAGCCACTATTTGGCTTTATACATTCGACAGTGAATGGCGAAGTTGTACTCCGAAGCGTTCTATGCCTAAAAAATCTGAGCAATGACGCTATGAGACTAACACTCTTATAGCGCCATCTTAATATATAACAACCTGTCCATCACAAAAGCATTTTTTCAAAGTAAAAAAAATATCGCGCGAAGTTTGTAAAATTTTTCAAAGGGGGGCGCGGCTCAAAAAGTTTAAAAACCACTGTGTTATACAAACAACAACAGAACCAGATATGTATTTTACAGCATTCAAGTGTGATCACGCCATCTAATTTACAAAATGTGAAATAGGAGCAAAGGTATGTAATAGCGAAATTATTTTGGAACTGCTGTGATACAAACAACACCATTTTGCAGCATTCAAGTGTGATCGCGCCATGTAATTACTTGGAACATTTACAAATGTCAAATAGGAGT